TTGTGACATAAATGACAAAATCCAGAACCACTCATATTGAATTATTTGCTGAATGTGCATGGCTAATAATTGGCACAACTGAGATTAGAATCTTTTTGATGGCAAAGTTCAGTTTGCTGAGCCATATTGTACCTAGGAAGATTCAAGGATTTATGACAAAGTAAACAGGACAAGAATTAGAACAACAGAGAAGTGTTTGCTGTGAACTCTGTACTTAGGACTAAGTTTTGAGCAATGACACACCAGGGTTTAGCACTGTTTGCAGTCAGCATACAAACCATGGTTCAAAGCTCCTCTTTATCTCTTCCTGCAACATTTGCTGTCTGTCTCTGGATCTGTTTTTCCCCACAGTTTCTCACCCACTCCCAAAGCTACAGTAACCCTCTGTGAGCTAGGGTTATTCCAGTAACCTTCCCATCCTTGTAGTTCTGGAGATAGGAGGCAATATGCCAATGTCTACTGTCAACTTTGTGCCCATGACACTCCTGAAAGTGAAAAGCTAACTTGGATTATACTAAATCATCAAGTACTATTCAGGACCATTTGGGTAAACCAGTCTTTTCCCTTCCCTTCCCTTCCCTTCCCTTCCCTTCTCTTCCCTTCCCTTCCCTTCTCTTCTCTCTCTATTCTCTCTCTCTCTCTCTCTCTCTCTCTCTCTCTCTCTCTCTCTCTCTCTCTCTTACTGAGACTCAGTGTACATGAACTTGGCTGTTGAATGTATAATTTTTATTTTACCTCATTTGTATTCCTATCAGCAATACTGTCACCCACAAGGCTTATTAGACTGCACGCTGCAGTAGTTTATTAATTGGTCTTGTCTCCTTTGACGACAGTAGAGACATTTTTTAAAATACAAAGATTATTTTCTATCAACTCCCCTTTGTATTCCTCCCATTGTGGTAAGATGAAGTGTAAATATGATAACATCCTTGAGATATGGTCTCTGCCAGCTTCATTAAAAAAAATCCCCCTATTAGGTTGGTGAGATGGCTCAGAAGATAAAGGCACTTGGTCACTTAAGCACAATGACCTGAGTTCAATCCCTGGATACCACATAAGAGTGGAAGGAGAGAACATAGTGTACAAATTGTCTTTCAACTGACACATATGTGTGCCAATGTCATACAAATGCTTTCTCTCTCTCTCTCTCTCTCTCTCTCTCTCTCTCTCTCTCTCACACACACACACACACACACACACACACACACACACACACACACACCCATATACCCATACACATACAAACACACACTTACACAATAGTAGCATTTTTAAAAATTTAAATTCCCTCTGGAATGAATTTCATCAATTTTTCTTTCTTCTGTGTTATGGGGGATTTGAACCCAGGGTCTCACACAAGCTAAGTGAGAACCTCCCACTGACTTACAGTCCTGCTGACTTCTGTCATTTCTGAAGTGTTTCATAGATACTGCCTTTCTTCCCATTCCTTAAACATGCCATTTTCTCCATCACCAATGGGACTTTCATTGACTTTTCCATTCCTGGAGGGAGATAAACCTCTTTATTTAGCCTACTTACCTCCTTTTCCTCAGGTCTCTCTGAAATTTTACTTCCTCCAAAAATACTTCACCTGACCTAGCCAAAGATGCCAGGAGCTATTTTCCCTCCACATATCACAGCATCTATCATACAACCTGGTAGTGTGGATACAGTCATCTGCGTACATATGAGACTGAGAAATTCATTCTCAGTCAGTAATTTTGCCTGTCTCTTATTGCTGACTCTTCCCATCAGAGAATAGAGTCTTGTATGCAGACTTCACATTTTTGATGAGGAGATAAATAAAACCCCCATCTATTGAGTTCTCCTCTGCACCAGGCCCTATTCTGAGCCATTAGTTCTTGCTAGTTTGTTTAATGCTAATTTATTAAGATGTTACTAGTTTTATCATAATTTTATAGATGAATATGTTGAAAATACAGCCTGGGTTGAGTTGTTTGCCTAATGTCACCTGGCCAACACGTGGTATAGTCAAGGCTAGAATCTTGCTGATACCAAAGTCCAGCCCATCAGGCCATATTGGTTCTGCGTGGTTCCATGAACTTAGGAAGTGAGCAATGGAAAGGCATTTGGTGTGAGCTCAGCATTTTCGACTAAACTTTGAGCAAGAACACACATAGGCTTAGACTTGTTTGCAGTTGGTCTTAGAGACCTCACACGAAGTCATGCAGCAGATAAGCAAGAGGGCAAAATTCCAACCCAATCACCATATCCACAAGATAAACTGTGACCCCATGTTACGATTCTGATCACATTCTTGCAAATTGCAGAGATTTACTCCCAAAGGCACAGTGTAGAGAGGGATTAAGGGATGACACAAACCCATCAGGCCCTGGGCTGATCTAGGTGTTCCTCCCACTTTAGGTGTAGAAGCATGCCAATGATTTTGGTGGTTAATATAACATGCCTCTGTCTTGATATGTATGTATTTTCTGTAGTTATTTGAAAATTTGTATATTCATAGTCTTAAATATCATATTTACTAGATCTAGACACATGATCTGTCTAGCCTTTTTGAAAAGGTGCTGAAACTGGGTACCTGACTTTGAAGATTATATACATACTAGCATAAAACTTGAAACAGGATTTGGAAAGTTAGGAAGATCTCAGGATGGTCTGGTGTGGTGGTGCACACCTGGGAAGACCTGGGAAGACACCAGAGACCTGGGAAGCTGAGGTGAGAAAACCACAATCTCAAAGCCAGCCTCTCACAAACCAACCATCCAAATAATTGACCAACCAGGCAAGCAAACTGAGGCAAACATCTCAAACCATATAAAACCTGAAATTTTCCAAACGAGACTTTCACTCCACTTTAAAACCTCGTCATTGGATAAACACATTCATTCTCCATTCAGTAAGTTTTGAGTCCTGCTTTGATAACACACTCTGGGACATGCTTTGGAAATTGTTTGAGCTAGAGCATGCTGTGTAGCATTTGATTAACAAAACTATATTTCAGTTCTTTATACCCAGAGTTTCATGATCAGAGCTTTTTAGTTGTCCTTCATAGCACTGTTGTTGCCATTATATAGTTGGGTAAAACCCAATAGTAGGGGAGTGCAATCTTCTTGTGCCAAATGGATGGACAAGGAAAGGTAGCGCCTTCTTAGAGGACACACAAGCTGTATCTATGTCTGTGACCAGATTCCTCAAGTGATGAAACATAAGGTGGTCTGACCACAGAAGGTGAAAATGCAAATAAAATGGAGCAGCACAAAATGCTCACAAATCAGCATTTGGCCGCGTTACCACCAATGTTTGCAAATGAACTGCTGTTGGTGATTTAAGCCTTTGTTTAGATATTAAGTAACTTGGTATGTTATGCACAGTCTAAAATATACAGTTTTCTTAAATCATTTATTGCTATTTTATTCAATAAGGAGGAGAGGAAGGAGAGAGGGAGAAAAAGAGGGATGAAGAAAGGGAGGGAGGGAGGGGGAGAAAGAGGGAGAGACTTATTCACTTGCAATCTAGACAATTAATGTTTAGATTTTATGGCCTGTCATTTTTGTGTTTCATTTTGAGGAGAGTAAGGAAGACAGGTGTGGCCTAAAAATTAGGCCATACTGTATATTGTTTTTCCTGTTTTCTATTAGTAATCTGACAATCTTTCCATTGCATTAAATATTGCTCCACAAAATTGGTTTGATAGCTGCATTTCACCCCATTTCATGATGCACTATGTTCATTTTCTAGTATAGATCATTTGTTTCTGTAGTCATGTTTTTAAAATAACTGCTCATGGGCTAGACAGATTGTTTCAGTAGTTATCACACCTTCTGCTCTTCCAGAGGACCTGGGTTCCCACGTGGCAGCTCACAACAATCTGTAACTCCAGTTCCAGGGGATCCAACACCTTCTTCTGATCTCCTCAGGCAATAGGCATGCACATGGTGCATAGACATACATTCAATGAAAACACTCAAGCACGTAAAATATGTGTTTCAAATGAATGTAAACAATAAAAATGAAATAAAACTGATCACCTATGAAGTCTTACAAAGTACCCATGCCTGGATCTTTACCACATAGGTTCTGTCTTGTTGGTCTGAGTTATAGTTTATTCAAGCATTGGAAAATTTTAATAGTTATCCTGTAACTCTAATGTGTAGAGAAATTAAAAATTATCATAGACTCTATGACATGGAGGGTGAAGGTAGGAGAAGAAGCACTCAGGGTCAGAAGCATATCAGCACCCATCCTTTAGTATTACCATAACCATTTTGAGCTGCTGAGTGGATGATGGAGCTGAGCGACTTACCTGTGACAGATATACAAAATTGTGGATGATGGCGCTAAGTGACTTAGCTGTAACATACATACAGAATTGCATGTGATGGAGCTGAGCCACTTACCTGTGGCATACATACAGAATTGTTCTTTGGTAGACTAAATTAGAATGGGACTTGGTTCATCAAGTTTTAACCATACACAGAACACTAAATAAAATATACCTCATTGACGGATGTTTTTGAGCTAAGTAATAACACTATAAACAAGAAATATATCCATTAACAAAGTCTGAAATAGTCAAACAATATGTTCAGTGCCTAGCATATGATACATATTTTATTATTCTTTTGAAGAATTAATGTATTTTGAGTTGTACAGTAAGTCTGGTATCTTTTCTTTATGGCCATATCAATGTTTTAAGTTGAGGCAAATAATTATTCTTCAATGTAGGGGAAATTATCTATTTGCACAGTTTAGTTGGAGAAGAACATCTGCAGCGTTTGCAAGATGTTTTTCTTTTTTTCCACTCTGCAGTGGTCTGCGTCCTTGAACATAAGATACAGATGACCCCTGTGCTGTTAATTATTGGCAAATTGCCTCATTTTGACTTAAGGAAGTAAAGCAGTATGTTTGTCAGCAGATGGTTACTAGTTAACAGGCATCACATAAGAAAGGTATAAAAGAACACCAGCATGATTGCTGTCCGCATTCTGCTCCCACCACCGCCAGCGTCAGCATTGAAACAACCAGCAGCCATGGAGTGGAGGGCAGCCGTATTTTTTGTTTTCCTACTAAATATTGCTGAATCCAGAATGCTGCATAGACATGAGTTTGGAATAGGTAAGATGCTTTATGATTTGGGAACTATTTTTTTTTTATAAAAAAGGTTCTTAAAATTCTCATATTTGCATCTCTTCAGGTATCTTGATTTAGGTATCATATTTACTGTTGTAGACAAGGGAAAATTTAACTGGTGGATAGATTTAGATGAAGAACACATACACACAGTGTGTGTGTGTGTGTGTGTGTGTGTGTGTGTGTGTGTGTGTGTGTGTGTGAAAATACAATATATATGAAAACCAGGCCACAATCTTAGTTCCTTCAGATTGACAAAACATTTTTATTCTCATTAAGGACTAATTGTTTGACTCTCTATAAAGTATCACTGTGAATTGGCCAACTGTACATAATTATGTCTGAAGATTAGTAAAATAAGCCAGTTAGAACATTGCACTATTAGGGATCCAGATAGTTAGGGAACCTGAAATATGAGTTTTTTGTGCTGAGTGTGCAATTGGTCATTCTGGTTAACTTCATTCCTTGTATTTTTTCAGTTTTCCCAAGTGTAAAATTAAGATACTGGATAGGTGGCTCTTATCTAAAGGTACAGTTTGGGTTTAAATTCAACAATGACTGCTTTCCCTGCTGAAATGATTGCTTGTCAAATGTCTTTTGTTTTCCAGCTTCCACACTAGATTCTTCCCAGTGCTCTACAGAGAAGAATATGCTTGGCCTGTAAGTTTTGCTTGCATAAAAACATTACAAATACACCATGCAAAAAAATCTTTAGATAACCGAATATACATTTTTTGAATCACAGGAGAGAATCATACAATTTTAAGGCTTCACTTATACTGAATATAAAACAGATATGCAAAATGTTGAACTTTGGACAATGCCTTGAATATTAACTATACCTTCCCTGGAATTCCATGAAGCAAACCAAATCAGATTTTCAAAACCAAAGATTAATTTCTCAGCAGTCAGTAACAGCTCTGTATGGGTGTAGAAATTTGTCTTACCAGTATCAATAGGAAGTTACTCTTCCTTCATCTCTAGTTTGCAAACTGTTTAATATCAAGTCGTGGGAAGTAAAATGCTTTTATTTTTGTTATTTTGTGGAGGACATTTTATTCCTTTAAATGTTGCCTCTGTTTTATCCATTTGAAACAATTTATAGTGAGGAATTTAAATGCATGTGTTTATGGTGATGTTGGCATGCAGAAACCTGCACACACATCAATTTGAGTCAGTCTGAGACTACCACAATCTAGGATTGGAGTTCAGTCACAGTGGGAGAAAACATAACTGGGAGGTCTAATGACTTAATCTTTGCTTAAATTAAGTATGAAAAAAAAACCTGTAAAGACTATAGGTTTTCCCAGTTACCAATGCATCACAGTGGGCAGTGGTCAAAAAAGGAGGATGCACGTTTTCACAAAATCCATTTCCTTTAACTTGTAAGAGTTACAGCTATATTGATGGGTGAAGGTGACAAATAAAACTGAAATTCATTTCTGAGTGACTACAACCAGATTTCACGTAAGATTCTTAGCAAGGGGTGCCTCCTAAACAGATCAGAAAATAAGCCACCAACAGAAAAAGCTGTACTTGGAAGACAAGTGTGACCGACCCGTCTAGTCCTTGAGCCTCTGCATGTGGTTTTGTTTCAGTGCTACCATCACCTTTGCCCAGTTTGTTCCGGGAGCCACTCTCCAGGAAATAAACAAAATGACGAATGACGTGCTGACTGCAATTAAGAAACCCACTAGTGATGAGCAGCATGGAGGGTGTTTAGAAAACCAGGTGAGTGAATAGGAAGAAAAGCCCCATTAAGACTTTATAGAAATTTAAGCTGTAGCAGAGAAGATACCGGGAAGATGTGCCTTTAGCTATTTGAAAACCCGTTGTATGAAAGCAGGGTTTGGTTAGTTCTGGAATCCCGAAAAGCTCTGTTGCAAAGCAAATGGCTGCTAAAAAGAGCCGGGATTAGCAATAGAGACTCATAGTTATGGTTACAGAATGAGATTATCTGGGCGACCATGGACACATTTTCTTCTTTGAGCTTTCATATCTACAATACAAAGGGTGACATTAAGTCCATTTAGAGTTGTCATGGAGACTTATGTTAAGGATGAATGGTGGCTCATCTTGTCTTATACACACACAGCTTGGCTGATATCTTTCCAAGGATTACTGCAAACACTATGTGGAAGATGATGCCCACCAATCAGAACATCTGTCCAGTGAACTAAGAGAACTTGGTTGTGGCTTATCATCAGAATTCCCATCTTATTTATGAATGTTAAATCATTAAGTGATACAATAATATCTATATAATTATGATTTTACATGGCATTTTATTATATGATAATATCGTAAAAATGAATATAATATTATATTATAATAATAATTGAATTAACTAAGTCTATAATGATCCTTCACAGATGAGGAAGATTTTCCTGGGCAGGAAACTGAGGCCCAGAGAAATCCCTCCTCTCAGGAACTGTAGTTTGGCAGAACTAGGGCTTCATGAGGACATCTGTCTCCAGAAATTAGTTCCTTAGCAGGCTGCTCACAGTGTTCAGCACAGTGAGTATGAGGCCCAGGTTATTTGGGCTGTCAGATGTAGCAAACGCACAGAAGCATCAATATCTGAACCTGTGTAAGTCAGAAGTTTAAAAAAGCAATCAAGTTTAAGCACACTGTTGTTCTTGAATAGAAACTCATTATGAACTAGTTATTATTCTTTAGTTTACATTTTTATAGAAATAGATTTTGTACTTGTTAGAATTATTAAAGTATGGAGCAAAATCCCCAGAGCTCTGTCCCAGTGGACCTGAAATGGCCAAAATGTTTTGTGTCTGGGGACTGTATAGGAGATACAGATCTTTTAAAAATATATATTTTAAAATGTATTCTTTGAGACTTTCTTACAAAGTATTTTAATCACATTCATGTTCCAAGCCCTCCTTCCAAGTCCTCCAGACTTCCTGACTATTATGTCTCTCTCTCAGTTTTGTTTCCTTTAAAAAAAATCCATGGTGTCTTCCAGTAGGTGCATAGGCATAGGGCCATCCACTGGCCCTTGGTCTGGCAGCAGCCAACAACTGCCAACAACTCCTCTGCAACGGCTGTGTGGTTTTGTGAGCCCCTACCCATCCATGCAGGAGTTTTGACTCGCTTGATTTTATGCAGGTCTTGTACAGACAACCACAGCCATTGCATCATAATGTGTACAATTGCCCTGTTGTGTCTGAAAAAGTTTTGTGGGACTCCTCTTGTGATTTTGGCTCTTACAAACTCTTCCTCCTCTTTCCCAATGGAAATGCACTGTGAGAACAGGCCTGAAATCCAATCAGAGCACTGTTGGTCACTCTTGTGGATTTATGCCACTGTTGTACCAACATACTTCAGCTGGGCTAATTGTTATCATACAATTAACAATTGCACAGTTTACAGCTGGGTACGACGGTAGATTAAATGATGTTTTTCCCCCAGCAGCTCTCACAGAAACTCCTGCATTATGAAATCTAGCCAGTAAGAAGGCAACTTCAGATGCTTCCTAGAACTCTAAAGTTTATCAGTTATTAAGAATCCTTGGTTTGCATTTTTGTTTTTGTCTTTCTCTGTTAGTCAGTTAAAAAAAAGTATGTATGTATAAACTATGCTCAAAACACTTCTTATTGCAACTTTTTAGAGTTCAGGATAATGTTACAGGTTGGGTGATTTTTCACTACAAATTCAAAAGGTTTCTTTAAAGGGCAGATTGAAACAGCATGATGGCACACTCCTAAAATCTCAGTGCTCAGGAAGCTGTGGCAAGTGGATCTGAGTTTGAGGCCAGTCTAGTTTACATAGTGAGTTTCAGGCAGCCAGAACCACATCATGAAGAGACACTCTCACAACCAACTAGAGAACATCAATAACCAAAGGTGAATATTGAGAATTAGAGTCCTAAGTAAGACTGTCAAGATTTTAAGAATATTAGCAGTTTTAATAGTAAAAGATTTTCCAAAATGGATTAAACATATATTTTTTAAGAGGCTTTCTTCAGACTACTGGTCTTGTCCAATCTCAGTGAATTTAGGCACTAAGGAAGAAAGCGTTTTAAAAGCATGGTAGCTAAATCTGTAATTATGACTAATGAAGGGAGGTTCTATTTTTAGTCCACTTTGAAGTCATTTTTGTTTTTAACTGAAAATAATATCCGATTTCAGAATATTGTCTGTTAGAAGGCCAAGTGGAACGAGCATCTATGAAACAACAAGAAAAGTTCTTATTATCTTGGGATCAAATTTTTCATAAAATAAAAGAGTAAAGTCATTTAATTTAAAATCAAGATAGGAAAGATAAGCTATTTCATGGCCACTTTTCTTTTAAAATAAAATAACTATGTCTTACAGTCAGGTGTGCTAACAAGGATGTAAATGAGAAGCCCTTCACCCTAAAAGTTACCAAAGAAAGTCATCACATCTGACCAAGAGAAAACCTATTGAATATGTACAGGGGATTTTCTTAATATACTGGGCTCATTTTGGATGTTAGAACACTTCACACATATGTTCCAGTGGAGTTAGTAGCCTTTCATGAAAAATAAAAGATTTTGTTTCCCCAGATGTCTGTGTTTCTGGATGAAATTTGCCACGAGAAGGAACTCTCTGAAAAGCATGGATACTCCAACTGCTGCAGCCAAAGTGGGGAGGCGAGGCACCAGTGTCTGCTTGCACACAAGAAGACTGCTTCAGCCTCTGTCTTGCCCTTTAGCTTCCCAGAAGCTGCAGAGAGTTGCAAAGCATACAAAGAAAACAGGGAGATGTTCATGAATAGGTAAGGACCACCCACTGGGCAGACAGTGTTTCTGCACTCTACAAATGTACTCCAGGGTGTGTAGAAGGAGGAAATGTAGCCAGGGGGTGTCCGATGAGGTGTGCACAAATACCCCAAGGGCTCCTGTTAAACACAGGCTGTGAGAGGTAGGACAGACCACACTCAGATCCAGCCTCTGTTCCTTCAGCCTCTGGAGACATCTGTTTCCCACCTTCAAACTTTTGATTTTGTTTCACCCCCAAATACATCAGTATTGCAGAGAATCACTTCAGAGGGCCAGATATTTATGTATCACACTCACTAAAGTTATAATTAAGCTTGTATAGTCAGATAAAGTCAGAACAAATGTGCTTGGAACAAATGGTTGGATGAATGCTCACAAACATTGGTGCCACTCTCTCCCCTTCCTTTAAAAATATTTCATTTCATTTTTGAGACAGGGTCTCATGACATCCAAGCTGGCCTTGAACTAAGTATGTAGCCAAGGATGAGTTTGAACTTCTGATCCTCTTGCCTCTGTCTTCCAAGTGCTAGGGTTATAGTCATATACAAACATTCATACATTCATTTATATCTATCGTATCTATCAATCAATCAATCTATCCATGCATACATTTACATATCCATCTATATTTTTATCTTTCTACCTAATCTATATACCTATATTATATCTTTATATCTACCTATGATCTATCTATATCTATACCTTTATATAGAAAGAGGGTAGAGAGGACTTGCTCGGGTGGTTACCTAGAACTCTGGCCTTGCTTATTCCCTAGACATGTCTGGGCAGATGTACTGAAAGAGACATTTCAGAAAGAATCATAGCATCTTTGTTTTTATAATAGATTCTGGAAAAATGTATTGGATCTTTTCTTTTCTCCTGAGGTTGATAGAGAGGAGAATTTTTGATGGTATCTGGAAGAATCACACATTTTTCCCCTGTAACAGCATAGTAAAGAAAAAGCCCAGTGCATGCCATTGCTTTTGCTGCTATGGAAAATTTTTTTTTTTTTTGGTTTTTTGAGACAGGGTTTCTCTGTGTAGTTTTGGAGCCTATCCTGGCACTCGCTCTGGAGACCAGGCTGGCCTCGAACTCACAGAGATCTACCTGCCTCTGCCTCCCAAGTGCTGGGATTAAAGGCATTTGTCACCAACGCCCTGCCAGCTATCCAAATTTTTAAGTAAATTCCAGAGTCTACTTCAGAGCAGTTACAGTTCATTGGTGTTTTACATGTTTGTAAATCTCCAAGCGTTGTCCATTTCACAGGGTCATCTACGAAGTGTCAAGAAGGTACCGCTTCATGTATGCACCTGCCATTCTTTCCTTGGCTGCTCAGTATGATAAAACAGTCCCAGTTTGCTGCGAAGCTGAAAACATGGAGGAATGCCTCCAGACAAAGGTGGTATCTTTGTTCAGTTATCTGAACCTAAATGGTGTCTAGTTATGGCTCAGGAAAACAGAGTTAAAAGTGGAAATATGCCTCATGTAAGAATATCATCTTCAGAAGAGAGTGTAGTTCTTTTTCATCCTAATGAGTAGTAGGTCTTTCCCATTATCAATGAAATTCCCTCTTGTATTTATAGTTATAATTAGAAACAATACTACTATTGGTAAAGTACAACTTAAGGCCAAAGTAAAAATCTATGTATTTTGTGATTTTGTGAATCAGCATTTACTGAACTTTTAAAGAAAGTAGAAGTAATAGCAATCTACGTGGAAGTGATGACTTAGTAGCTATAAGCTTGACAGAATGGTAGCACTGTGCCTTTTCTGTAGAGAAGGACAATGAAATGCTTCCCTACAGCTTCTCAAACAAACATGAAACAATATTCATACAGAATAAACAACCCCATGGATAGCTGACAGGTGATGAGCACACTACAAGTTCAACCAGAGCTTAAGAAGATGAACGTTGACAAAATGAGTTGTTTACATGCCAGCATAACTGAGCATATTCCAGCTTCTGGCTTTTGTTTGCTTGCTTTCCTTTGCTTTTTGAGACAGAGTCTTGTTATCTCCAACTAGACCCAAATTCCTAAGAATCACATGACCTTCCTCAATACCAGACTATGACACACTCTTGGTTTTTATTTTAATGGAGTGGGAGTCAGCAGGCTTCAGTTTTCTTGGAGGCTGGAAAGGCTCAATTGTCCAAATGGTCCTAGCATCAAAATTATGATGCTTTGTTTTGAAGTATTTTAAATAAATCTCAGGCACATATACAAAAGAATTAATCTGAAAGTCATTAAAAATAACGTGCTTAAATGCCTAGTGATTCTAGGTTTAGTAGAAAAAAATATTCCATGCACTTCCATGTGTTGTCTGGATCTATTGCTTTTGTAATTCTTAGAAAGAATGCATGGGTTTTGGTCTTTTTTTGACACTTCAATTCTTCTGCATCTAGAGAGCATCAATTGCAAAGGAATTGAAAGAAGGAAGCATGCTGAATGAGCATGTATGTGCAGTATTAAGAAAATTTGGATCCCGAAACCTCCAGGCCATGTAAGTTTAAGTTTCTGTGTTGGCAATTGGGTAGGCACTGTAGAGTTGCTGCTTATCTTTCTCAATGTCACTCACCCCTTTGGTGAGGTAGACTGTGATTAGAATCATGGAGTCTCAGGATCAGAAGGAAGCTATCAGATCAGCTGGCCATTTATTACTTACAAAAGTCTCTCTGGAATGACATTCGAGAGAGAATGTTAAGGTTTATACTGTTTGCCTGTTCTAGTCACTTAACGTTTCCATCGATCAAACTATACCACCTCTTAGACCATATTTTCCTAGCTCTTCTACAAAGTAAGCCAACCCTTATGGAGAGGCATCTCAGACTTGTAGCCTAACAAGAAATTCTTCATGCTAACTGTGCTTCTTAATCTGCTTTTCTGTGTCAAGTGTTGCTTCTCATTAAAATAGTCCCTTGAAGCGACAAGTTTAGGACCCTGTGGCAGGTGAAAGGACAGATCTAAATGAGTCATGAGAATTGTGCACAGCTGCCACTCAGTGGACCTTTTCAGTCATGCAGTTAGTTCCAAAGACTGGCTGGGATGTCCTCCTGGAAGAGGCCAGACTTACCCTTCAATTACCTCCCAATTCTGGAGAAACTTAACGATCAATTCATGAAGCCCTTTAAAAATCTTAGGAGTAAAATAGAAATGAAGAAACAACTACAGCAATGGCATAATGTATCCATCAGTAAATAAAGCCATAGGCTCCCCAGTTATCACCAAACTCCTTCTTCATCAGTAGCAATGGCTCAAGTGTCTACTCAAGGGAGCAGGATATCTGTGCAGATAACCCTTCATGTGAACGGAGTTCCTGGATGGAGGCAACTTTATTTTGTATTTTCCCTCTGCCTTGATCTGATCACTTGTCTCCAACATTGAGTCTGCTCCACTTCTTTCATTTCAGTCATTTGTGCATCTGCAACCCTCCCAGGTTTCTCAGAAGTACTTATTTCTATGAAATGAAAAGCAAGCGCTATTCTCAAAGAACTTTCCTACCTCTTCATCATTTATTCTTTAATTTTATAGATTTAATTTTACACACACACACACACACATATATATATATATATACCTCCACCTCCTGTCTGCTGGAATTATAGAAAGTGCCACCATGTGTGCTACAAAGATCCCAGATGCTTAGAGTCAGGGATGAACAAGCAAGGATATCATTTATCTTAAGTCTCTAGAAACTCTTTATGAAGCTATAAATTGCTTCCAAATCATTTGGGGACCCAGCCTATGGGCTACAGAACTTCTCCCTAGAGAGATGGGGCTGAAGCCTATGATGTCTAAGATGTGTTTGCTTTTCTTTTAAAATAAGACATCTCAGTTCTTTCCCTCTCAACAGATACTCTATAGACAACACAATTTCATTTTGATAGATAAACAAGATTCTTTTTTTAAAAAAATCTTCCTTTCCCAGAACCCTTATTAAGATGAGTCAAAAGTTTCCCAAGGCGAATTTTACGGAGATTGAGAAGCTGGTCCTGGATGTGGCCCACATCCACGAGGAGTGCTGCCTAGGAAATGCAATGGAGTGTCTGCAGGATGGGGTAGGAGTCTCTCTCTTCCTACAAGATGGTTTCTGCTCTCTCCCTTTTCACTTAGCTTCACTCTAAATGAAGGCCACCTGGCCTGGCCAGGGCACAGGGTATGGTAACTGTGATCCAGTGAAGTTACAGACTTCCTAAGGGTAGAATTTAAGCTATATCCTTGATCTCGGCTTTCACTTCAGACATTAGCAATCCCTGCCCCCTTTTGTGAGACTAAGGCACATTTGTTTCTTTATTTGACTGAAATACAGTGAGTACCTTCTACCAGCTAGCTAGCTGCTGGTTCACCATGACAGACGATTGTTAGGAAAATATAAATTGACATGAAGGAATGTATAGTTTAATCAGAGAGATAAGACAATGGCCTTCTTGGAGCTATAGACTGTCTAGTTTGCAGATATCTCTACAGGATAATGCCTGGCACATTGAGACATTCTGTCATAGTTTAATGACAGATTTATAAGCAAAAATAACCCAAGGAACTCTTGCACAAGGGAAAATGTCTGTTCATGGCAAGCAGAGGTGTGAATAAAGGGATCTAAAAGAATTAAAACCCCAAACTCTTAACAATGGAATCCATAAGAAGTGGTCATGGACATGGTATGGCAATTTGCTTCCTAGACATTGAACTGAGGTCTATCTATATACACCAAATCATCCCCCTTCTCATTCCCGTGACACTAAGGAGACTTAAAAACAAACAAAACAAAACAAAACAAAACAAACCCACTGTTGCTAGAGGCCCAAGTGACTTGGAAAGGCTCATTTCAGTACACTCCCATGGTGTTTAGTACAGATGGTTGAGGTTGGGTGGGTGGGTAGCAGGTGGCAGGGGATGCCAGGGGACAGAGCAGGTCAGACACTAGGGAAGCAGGCACCCCTGTCCTGAGGAGTGGATGAATCAGGAGGCACAGACTTGAGAACTTATTTGCTCATGCACATTAAGAATTCATCAGTTCCTTAGGCATACCAGCAACAAGTATTTTGTTTTTCTTTGAGGACAGCTTTCTGGGTGACAATTTTATTGATTTTCATAGACAGTCAAAAACTAGCTTTTAACTTTTGGAGCTCAGAACTACTTTTTCATTGATAGTAGAAAAATAATTTCAGTATTTTAAGGTAGGCTTTAACAACTGAATATCACATTTCAACTGTCACTGCTGATAATGCCCCTGAGCAGGGACACAAATTTTGTCTTCAAGATTTTTCACTGCAGGTTCATTGTCTAGAGACTGCCCTCTGGAGGGCAGAGTGGGTCACTGCATATCTTTCAGATCAAGATGGAGGGGAGAGATAGCAAGGTTAGGATGCCCACTGCGGATATTGTCCACTGGAAAATTTCAATACCAATAAAGAGACGCTGTCTGGTTTGAGCAGATCATTTCCTTCTTTTCTTGAAGATTTTTTATTAAAATAGAAACTAGGACAGGTGAAAGATATGGAAAGGTCTCGATCAAATCATAAAGCAATGAAGAAAAGCAAGGTGAGCAAAATAAAAGGGATGTGAGAGGGGATAAAAGCAGAAACAGAAATGAGGCAAAATGTCTGCACTGACCCTCGATTTTTCTCTTCACTTCTCCAATTATCTCTTCTTCCACTTCCTTTTTAACCTTTCAGTTCCTACCTTAAAGGATACATCTTTGAGATTTATATTTTGCTATACCCATTACAGGAAAAAATCATGTCATATATCTGTTCTCAACAAGATATTCTGTCAAGCAAAATAGCAGAGTGCTGCAAACTGCCCACCCTGGAACTTGGCTATTGCATAATTCATGCAGAAAATGATGACAAACCTGAAGGTTTATCTCCAAGTCTAGATGGGGTTTTGGGAGATAGAAATTACGGCCAGCTTTCTTCAGAGGAAAAAATCATGTTCATGGCAAGGTAACGTGCCCTGTAAATGTGTGTTCACAATGATAGAGTCCATCATGTGACTGGAAGCTCTGTTTTGCTGAAATGGGGAATGAATGGTGGCTCTAGTTTTTGAGCTCAGTTGAGTCTGTCTAGATGGGAATCCAAGGAGCTGCAACCACAGAACTAGTGACTAGAGGCTGAGACCTGTGGTAGAGTGACAAGACTTCCACAATGACCACTATTAATCGGCTTGTTTATGAATCTAAATTTTGTTTTGTATTTTCTCTGAAATGAGGAATGCCATTATATTTATGTGTCTCACATGATAACCACCATGGACTTTCAAAGATAATCCAGATATTTCTTTAATAAGGAAGGCTTAGGCTGCAAAACTGGCAAAGTAGGGGAAAAGAACTTGTGACACAAGCCTGACTACCTAGTTCCAAACAAGGAAACTGGAATGACCAAACCAATTTCCAAAAGTGCTCCTTGATGACACATGCATGCTACGGCATATGTGCCTGCCCCTCTAGTAATAATAGATAAATGAAATAAAATTTACAAACAAGAGAGGCCCAAGATCATGACTGGACTCTCACTATGCATGTTTTTAAAAACCATCACCCTAAATATAACTCAATAGCTAGAGCTAGACAGAAGGCTTTTCATTGAAGCAGATTGCTTGCTACTTATTGAATTTTAAGCCAATGAAAACATGTTTAGAGATGTTTGCGCAATGGTAGTTTCTTATAGTATATATAATAGGTGTGTATTCATTCTATTTGCTAACAGTCAAGTTAATACCTTTTCCTTTATTGTATGTATCTGTGGATGCTATTAGAAGAGGAATTTGTGCAGCTCTTAGGACATTATACTTAATGATTTCTTTGAACCTATCTCAATTTAAGAGCCTGGTTCTAATGCAGCAATGAAAACAATGGCTCTATTTTCTCCCCAGTATTCCCAGAAGATATAGTTCTTTTGATGTATTAAAATCAGGTATTCACATGTCATTTGTATTGCTAAATAAAATTATGCAAACCAAAACAAAGACTAGATTTAGGAGACACATCTAGAGATTTTATTGATGGCATAAGTAAACACTACCAATACCTATAACCTATAACCTATAAGAGAGAGAGAGAGAGAGAGAGAGAGAGAGAGAGAGAGAGAGAGAGAGAGTTTGCCTCATAGAAACAGGCCTTCAGTGGCAAAGAACGTTTGCAGTTGACATATTCTCATCTAAGAATGATCCTCTTCCAAGCCCTTACACTCCCTTCACTCACACCCGGGCCTACTGTATTACTTACCCAAAGGAGATGTGCTTGACCACAAGCCGGATTAGTGATCACTCCTCTTTGGGTGCTGGCTCTCTTCCTGCCTTCCATCTTTCTTTATTTTTCTCCATTGATTATCATTACTGAGGATAGATGACCCATTTAAGCTTGCAGCTGTCTGCTTATAACAAATGCTTTGGGGAGGAGTGGAATTTTCTCTTACATGGCATTAGCTCTTCACTGTTTAGAGCAATGCTAGCATCCAGGACACCCTGGAAAACATATCTGTTGGATAAATGACTATAAATCTCACAGCTAAAAAGACAAAGTGAGATATTAAACAAAATAAAGTAGCATTATTTGTATCATTCTTCTTTAATTAACAATAATCTCACATATATGTGAACATAGTTTTAGACCTAGGTTCACTTATGAGAGAAAATATGCAGTGTTTGTCTGAATCTGGTTTATTCACTTAATGATTTCCAGTTCTATTTTCTGGCAAATGTCATGATTTCATGAAAGGATATTTTATAGGGTAATTTGAGGGACTATATATAGCCAGCACTAATAGTTTTTCTGTTCATAGTATTCAAATTATGCTTGTTTTTTTCTGCTTCACTTGCTATTTGATTTTTAATGCCTATACACCCTAACTTTTATAAAGGAATGGTTAGGGAATTACTAGTGTAATTTTGTTTTAGTTCCAACAACATGATATTTTTCATACATATTTCAGATTTCTTTATGAATATTCAAGAAGCCATACCAAGTTTGCTGTCTCAGTCATCCTAAGAGTTGCTAAAACATACCAAGAGATAATGGAGAAGTGTTCCCAGTCTGAAAATTCAGCTGTGTGCCAGAACAACGGGGTAGGCTGCTCTAGAATTCAGGGGATAAGCTATAAAACTGCATTGATATGAGCCATTGAAAATTCTGTTTGTGGGTCAGTGAGATGGCTCAGCAGGCAAAGGTGCCTGTTGTGTGAGCCTGGGGACCTGAGTTAGATCGTTGGGTACCATATAAAGAGAGAAGGAAAAAAAGTTGGAGTGGTTTCCACACATGCCATTTGGCACATTCTCTTCACTGAATAATTAAAAGCTAAACTATTTTTATTAAAATAATTAAAAGTAACTATTAACTGGCAATTACCTGGTTATATGTATAAACTAGTAATCTATTACGTAATTATTCTAACCACTAACCAATGGCTTATATAAGAAATAAATTCATTGGACAAAAGCTCTATGGTGAATAGAATAGAGAGAGAACTTTTTTTGACAGTTTTGGGGAGGCAAAATCTTATACAGAAACTGCAACCCTCTACCCAGTATTCTCAAGAGTTCATTTGTTTTAATTCTCAAAAGCCACCCTCTATCATCTTTAATGTTTTATAAAGGCTTCTAAGATTGGTTTTATATTAGAATAAGATACTGGCATAAAGAAAATTGTGTGTCTGGGAGGACTGATAAATGCATGTAATAATGTCTGTATTTTTAGGAAAAAGAACTGCAGAAACACATCCAGGAGAGCCAGGCGCTGGCCAAGCAGAGCTGTGCTCTTCACCAGAAGCTGGGGGACTACTACTTTCAAAAAGTGTATGTTTTATACAGCATTTTCAGTGTTTTAAAATTATTAATAGGTGAGGGAAACATAAGTTTAAATTTATTTTTAACTTTCTTATTTATTTTAAATTTAAATTCTTAAGCCACTGCTACTCTTACTTCCATCCCCAGTTGGATGGAAGTCAGTATACATTTGATTCCATGACTCCTCCCAGGTGGTTCCCCTTTAAGGATCGACAAGAACACCCATGAAGTCTGATCTGTCGAATTGGCCATGGGTTCCCTAAATCCTGCAGCTTTTTGCAGGAGAGGTGTCTTCTCTGCTCACAGCCTGCCAAGGTTCCAGCAACCAAAGGTCACAGTTGAAATCTAGGAAGTGCTGATGTTGGGTTGACAGCTGTCTGCTGTGCCATCTGCATCCCACAGTGACACATGGGAAGACTGGAATATATGGAGTGACTGCTGACCTCAGTTGCTGGGCCACATACCTTGTGTCCTCTGATACCAAGAGTAGGTCCTTGAGAAGGAGTAAAAACTCATGAAAATGTGGTAAAAATGCTTCTTTCAGGTTCCTCATTGCTTACACAAGGAAAATCCCTCAACTGACCTCTGCAGAGCTGATAGACCTCACCAGGAAGATGGTGAGCATTGCATCCACGTGCTGCCAGCTCAGTGAGGAAAACTGGTCTGCCTGTGGTGAGGCAGCGGTGAGTGTCCTATCTCATTTCTGTTCTGTTTGACTTGAAGCTGTTTCACATTTCCATCCCAGGAGAAAGAGTGGAAACCTGTGTCAATGACGTTGCTTGGTTTGTTCAATGAGTTCCGATGGAGGGGGTGGGAGTGCTAATTTTTTAGCAGTTTGCTGTTGGTCAGACTTCCTATCCTTCTAGAATGCTTGGTAGAAGTGCACTTACTTTATTCAACAATATATAAGCAAGCTTTATGCATAGGATGGATAGTAGCCAATATGTTATTCAACTTATTACTTCTTATTTCCTAAATTCTTACTTCAGTATTGAAAAGGAAAGAAGTTTTGCTTGTAATAGATTGCAATTAGCTGTCTTATTTTAGCCATATTTAGGCATCTGCCTTTTGCAGGCCAGTCTTATCATTATATTTGGGGCAGTTTGTTCCCAAGGTGAAATACAAGATTAAGAGCCATCTTGTATTTACTTCTTACTTCTAGATAGTAAGCCCATTCATTTTCATGTCACAATGAAAGGGGATTTCTGCCACTAAGCTTGAGCTGTTTGCATTTGATATTTGAGAATAAAAATTGTACATTTTTGTAGGGTGACTGTCTTAGGCTAGGTAATCTGAATGACTCATGTAGGCTAAGCCTGAAAATAGTAAGCACACAAACATGATAAAAATAATTAAAATTTATAGCTACATGTTTAAGGGATATCTTTAAAGTATGTGAGATAGGAAGAATCTATGTTAAAGCTTAAACACTTACACACTTACACACCCATTTATTTTCTATTAGTTGTGTGTGTGCAGAAAAATTGCAAAGGTTAGATTTGTTCTATTCTGACCTTCAGAAAGTGATACTCTGCATCAAAACCCAAACTCAGGGGTTGAAGAGATAACTTGGACAGTTAAAAGTGTATACTTCCCAGGGGTGGAGCACTCTTTTAACCCCAGCACTTGGGAGGCAGTGTCAGTCAGAGTTCTGAGTTCAAGGCAAGCCTCATCTACAGAGTGAGTTCCAGCATAGCCAGGGTTACATAGTGAGACCCTGTCTCAAATAAACCAAAACAAAACAAAACAAAAGTGTGTAGTGCTCTCAAAGAGGACCCAAGTTTGGTACTCAGTGCCCACTGAGAATGGCTGTCAAACACCTTTTACTTTAGATCCACAGAGATTTGATGCTTCTGCCTTCCACAAGCACCCATACTCACCCACACATACCAGCCCTACATACACATAATTAAAAATGAAATAAATAGTTAAAAAAAAGCAAAATTCAACCAGATAAACATAAAAACAACCTGCCAAATGATTTGTACACATCAAGATGGAAGTATTTTTCCTTTTTGAAAATCTATATGCAACTAGAAACTTATTTCAGACAGCTAAAGGAATTTTCATCAATATCACATCTGTTAACATCTGTCAGATTAGAAGAAAGGACATATGATAGGTAGGATTTTAGTTGGAGGGGTGGTAGGGGAGGAAGGGAGGGAGAAGGGAACTGGGATTGTCATGTAATTCAATCTTGTTTGTAATTCAAATATATAAAAAATAAAAAACTAAAAAAACAAAAACAACAACAACAACAAAAAACATCTGTCACTTACATACTAAGTTTTATCCCAAGTAAAGAGGCAAACATTTAAGTTCACAACATGCTGTTAGTAAGTCAAAATTTCCTGTAATATTAGTGACAAGTTCCTGGACATTGGGTGTAACTACATGAGATTTCTGGAAATGTGAGCCAACTTGGTAGCTAATTTCATTTCCCTGCTTTCTTCTTTCTCATTCTCCTAACCAGGCTGACCTTTTCATTGGACACTTGTGTTTAAGACATGAAGCAAACCCTTTGAACCCTGGTATTGGTCACTGCTGCAACTCTTCATATTCCAACAGGAGGCCATGCATCACCAGCTTGGTGATGGATGAAAGCTATGTCCCTCCACCATTTTCTGCTGACAAATTCACCTTGAACAAGGATCTGTGTCAAGCTCAGGGCCAAGCCCTGCAGACCATGAAACAAGAGTAAGACATTGTTATTTTCTACCATGTAGAAGAATGATGCTAGAGGGAGGAGCTGAGACCCCTGCCTTACATTTTATAGGTTCACTAGATCATAATTGCCCCTGAAGCACTAAAGAATCTCTCTAAAATTAGTTCTCTTTCAGTTTTCATACAGCCTTGTGGGGGATGTTGGTTTGGAAAAAATCCACTAAGGCAGACAATTTCCTGTTTATGAAAAATTGTCTCTGTTGTGACAATTGTGATATATTTTGGGTAGAAGGAAACATGGATTATCTATTTTGAAAAATTAGGAGAGATCTTTGTAGTGAGTCTGGGTATTTCTATTCCAATTTTGGGGGCTGTATGGTTGTATTTATAAGCAGGATAATTATATCTGACTCAACCATATTTAAAAAGGGGAATAAATACACATTTCATTGATTCTGTAATGGCAATAACATTGTTTAAAAAGGGGAATAAATACACATTTCATTGATTCTGTAATGGCAATAAATGAGGATAAAGCCAGTGGAATTTACATTCTTCAAATACCCATGCATTTTAATTTAAATTTAATACTCAATGGCTTTGCATATGGGCTTCTTTCCTTGCCAGAGCTATTCTTCCATTTTTCTTCACCCCAGTTAGAGGAGTATTTTGAGAGGTAGTAAGAGTGGTGCTTTTTCTCTGAAGCCTTCCCTATTGCCTTTCTGACTTTAAGTCCAACATGCAATCACTGCTAAGTGAGTAGTATAGGCAGCCAGTGATACTCGGGTTAAGGTATAACAATGACAATTGTCAGTATCTAGACATCTGGGCCTGTGTGCATGGATAAACCACACTGTAGAAGAGGGAAAAGGAAAGGATAATGTAGGCAAGCAAGACAGAGAGAACAGGTCATTCCATAAAATCTCGGCAAATCCTGACATAGTATTTCATCTGTAACCTGCACCAGGGCAGGACAGTGGCATGCCATGTGAAGGCTAAGCCTGGCAATGAGTAGAAGGAGTGATGGCTGAGGGTGGAGGCGGCCAGGGCTCTGAAAATGTTCTACTAAAAGCATCTTGGGAAAGTGCCATTGCACAGTAGACACCCCTGTATTTCCTTTTGTTTTAAACCCCAGGCTTCTCATTAACCTTGTGAAGCAAAAGCCTGACATGACAGAGGAGCAACATGAGGCTGTCACTGCTGATTTCTCTGGCTTTTTGGAGAAGTGCTGCCAAGACCAGGAGCAGGAAGACTGTTTTGCAAAAGAGGTTTGTGTGAAACATTTCACTCCCCAAAGTCTTGTCATGGAGTATCCTGCAGTAAAGAACGCAAATAATATGCTACAAGTCTAGAACTTAAAGTAATGACAAAATTTAAATTCTCTTTGGAAATTTTATGAGGTTTAAAATAATATTTTTCTGAGTATTAGGGAGAATTAAAATTTTAAACTATATTAAGAAAACCAGCAATTGTGATTTATTTCCTAATAGAGAGAATAATTAAATAAATATAAATAATTGATGATAATGTAGACTATTTCTGAGCTAAAGTTAAGCAGTTCTCATGAATTGGATCAAAAGGGTTCACTATTGTATTAATTACATAACTAAGAGGATATTCTTAGGACACAGTCTTGAACTCAATTAGGAGCACATTTTTGTACCCCCATGTTAGAAATAAGGAATTTTCTGAGTTGACTTTGTAACTGGCACATTCCTATCTCTCTGTTTGAACATTTTTATGTGTTCTTGACTTTCAGGGTCCAAAGCTGATTTCAAGAACTCGTGCTGCTTTGGGAGTTTAAACTCCTCCAGGTAACAAAAAATTCAGCACAGGCTAAATAATGATGTTGATTCTCCCTACATATCAGTCTCTATTGATGAGGATCCTAAGAAATACCATTAATTTTCTTTAAAAGGGATATAATTTAATAAAACAGGTTTAGTTTTAAAATACTGAAACATAAGTTTGGGAGACTTCATAGGCTTCACTAGGCCTTCCTATGTTCCTATTAGTGAAACATTTTTACCTTCTCTATCTACTCAATTAATAACATAAACTATTTTTTATATTTCAGAGGGAAGAGAGGACAAAATGAATTGACAGTTTGGTGATAATACTTTAATGACATGGTGAAGACTTCCATTTGAGATTTCTCCCCCCAAGAAATAAAGACTTCCCAACTGGTTTTCTTCTCCTAGTCTGCTTATTTATGAAAAGATAATCTC